CCTGGATGGTAACCCTGGAATCCCCCTACATGTTGGAATCACATCAGAACCCACAAAAGCAGGGAAAAACAAAAAGGTGCCAGGAAAAAACAAAAAGGTGCCAAAGCATTGCAGATTTAATGTCTCAGTCAGTATTCTCTTGGGCTCAGGCTGGCTGAAGCACAGAGGAGCTACAGGAAGTGAAGAGGGAAGTAGAAGAGGTGAGGACTGGGGTGAGAGAGACGGGCAAGGACACCCCAATGAGAAAGGGCTATGCCCACTACCTGCTTGGGACATGGCCTCCTCCTGCTGACTGTGAAAGATGTTTTGGGGAGCAGCAGAACCTAGGGCTAACAGGATATTTCTGATTGGGGTGATTGCTTCCAACCAAATATCCAATTTTCCAGTGCCCACCAGTCACTTCTTTCTCATACTGACTACCCAGAGACTGCAAGTTAAAGGAGTCAATGGTTCAAAACTGCTCCCACCACAGACAATGTCCCATACTTCTGCCTCTCAACCACCAATCAAGGGATTTCCAGGAACCCTTTAGGTGTGATAATTTCCCCTAACAATTCATAGAACATTTTAAAAAGAGATGCACAGGGTAAGGTGTGGTGGAGGGGCGTGAAGTTCTCACAGCTTTCCAGGTCCCTTCACAGGCTGCTCCCAGAAGCACCTAGCTCTGATACAGCAGTTTCCATAGGCACCACTGAAGACATCATTGGCCTCTGTCACAGCTCTTCTCCAGCCTTTTTCTAAATTTTGGGGTTTGGGACTGAAAGTTCCCCAGTGGTTGCTTTCTAAAACTAATTAGGACCCTCAGCTACCCATCCACTCATCAGCATAAAAAGAGTAAATCCTGAAGATTGAGGAGTATATCCAATGAACACTAAAGGGCAAGTCCCGATTTCTCATTTTATCTCAGGGTACTCCCACATATCCTCCTGAAGAGTCAAACATATTCCCTCCTTCACCAGAACACACACACACACACACACACACACACACACACACAATCATGCGCAACGTATCACACACACTACACACACATCCATATACTACACATATATGCACATATCTCACACACCATGCACGCACATATACATACCACATACACACACTAGTGTGTGAAAATAGGTCTGGCAACTTTTCCTGGTTCTCAAGGGTGATGAAGACTGGGGATAGAGCAGGGGTGGGATGGTGAGGGTGGCTGGTGGTGTAGCCATCAAGCTTTGGTATCTCTGTCACTGAGTAAATCCTCTGCCTTGAAGGATTCTAGAAGTCAAAGGCTTCCTTTGGATCTAAACAGGACACTAAGTGTCATTCTGCAAGCCCACATCTATGTCAATATTTTGAAGCCAGGTCTCCCATGGTTTGTGTATAATGAGCCAGCAGTGAGGAAGTGGTTTGAGGTTGTTGGTCTAGTTGCAGAGTGACCACAAGTCCCCAGTCCCCAACATTGCCCAGAGCTTCTTTCTACCACAGGGTCTCTATCTGTGAAAAGGTCTGCCCTTGTCCTGAAGCTACTGGGTCAGCAGTCAGGGCTCTGCAGAGAAACTGAATAGGAAACACACACACACACACACACACACACACACACACACACACACACACACACACACACACACACACACCTTCTATGAGGGATTGGTTCACACCATCATGGAAACTGAGAAGTCCCAAATCTGTAGACCTGATATCCCTGCTCAAGCTGAACCAGGAAGAGTCCTTAAGTCTAAAGACAGTCAGCAAATAACATCTTCTCTAACCAGGAGAATATTTAGTCTTTGATCTTCAAAAATGTCTACTCAGGCATTCAACTGATTTGATGAAGCCTACCACACTGGGGATGGCCAGCTGTTTTACTCAATCTGATGACTCAAATGTTCAGCTCATCCCCAAATTCACTTTCAGATACATGCAGAATAATGATTGACAAAATATCTGGGTACCCCATTACTCAATCAAGTTGACACATATATCAACCATCATACCTATCAGGTGTTTCCAAGAAAAATAGAAAGCCATTACTCTTTTCCAATTAGTACTGTGTAATTAACCAGTACACTCTTGCGTAATTCACCTGCACACTCTTGTCTAAAGGATTCACATCCATCTACCAGGATGTTTGACTTCCTAATTCCCTTCTCCTTTATAATTAGAATCTGGTATTTGTCTATGAAGTTTCTGTCTTCTTTTTCTTTCTTATATTTAAAATATATGTTTTCTTTTCTTTTCTTTTTTCTTTCTTTCTTTTTTTTGGTACTGGGAATAGAACCCAGGACATTGTATTTGCTAGGCAAGCACTTTACCACTGAGCTACATCCCAGCCCTGAAGTTTTTTTCTCTTGAGAACCTTGAGTACTAGGAGTCCACAGAACTCATTATCCATAGAGAAACAACGAGAGAGGTCTGTCTCTAGAGGACTTGTGGAGGCACAAAGCCCATGGTCCACTGTCGGACTTTTGCAATTTGGCTACTCAGAGCTATATGCGAGGAAATCTGAGCTGGAGGGACAGCTGGACCAGATGGTAAATCTTAGCAGAAAAGAAACCTCATTGGAGTAGTGTTTCAGGGACACCTCAGTAATAGCATGAATCAAATCCCTGATCTGTTTTAGGGACACCTACAATTGACAGTTAAGAACCCCATTATTTCTCAGAGCTACTGGCATCCAGTTTCTGAGATAAGTTGTGAAGGCATTGCTGAGACTCTTAGCTGTCCTGTTATATTAGGGTTAAAGATATTCTTAGGAAATGGAGACAGGGACCAATCAAAACCAACTTCAGAAGCTGGATGTTGGTGGCTCAAACCTGTAATCTTAGGAGGTTGAGATCTGAGGATTGCAGTTCAATCAGGGCTCTATCCTGGGCAGGAAAATCCATGAGACTCTTATCCACAATTACCCATCAAAAAGTAGAGCTATGGTTCAAGTTGTAGAGTGCCAGCTTTGAGTGAAAACACAAAGAGACTGTACTCAGGCTCTGAGTTCAAGCCCCAGTACTGGCACATACACACAAAACCTTCAGCTAGTGCCCCAGCACTGACTGTTAAACACTAGGAAGCAGTTGATTAGCAAACTTGTTGTTGAGCCAACTGTGCATCATGGTGTGTTGTTACATTGGCCATGAGATGAATGGCCATAAGAGCAAGTTCTCACCTCTCCTTCCCTTGTAGTTGATGAGATAGAGGTCAGGCAAATGGAAGCCCAGAGGGTCTTACTTTTGCAATTTGGCTACTTAGAGCTATGTGCAAAGCACTGAGAAAATTTGGAAGGCCATGCAAATAGAACAAGTGAAAAGACTGGGGAAGTCCCCCCCAGGTCAGGAGACCCATTTTGCCATTAAGTGCCTGAGGTAGGCAAGAGCCCTCCCTGTGGCCTCCCCTGGGTAAAACTCATGTCCCTAAGGGCCTGAGTTTCTCACCACAGCCAGAAGTGCTGCTAGCTTTCACTCTACTGCCAACTTTCATAGTCCAGATGCATTCCAAATAAGCACAGGCTGATCCCCATTGCATGGCAAGCTTGAATGGGGCTTTACTTCTGGAGACAAGGTAAAGCTGAATTGGTCACCAAGAACTCCATATGCTCCAGGGGCCTCCATCCTGCCTGCTCAAGGAATTTTATCTTGCTCTGGACAACAGGCTTCTGGTTCCTCTATATATATAGTTTTTTTACATCTTTTTCCTTCCTTTCCCTTTTTCTCCTTTTCCTCCTCCATCTTCCCTCTCTTTTTCTCTCTTGATCGCCATTCTTCCCAAAGCTTCTAGGATTGTTTCTGTGATCAAGGCATGTAGACCTTTGCTTTGCTTTTCTGACAATTGGATAGTGCTCTCCAGGGGATTCTTGTTTCTATAAAGATTTCCCTGAGCCGGGCACTACTGGCCCATGTCTGTAATCCTAGCTTCTCAGGAGGCTGAGATCTGAGGATTACTTGGTTAGCTTTGGTTCAAAGCCAACCCTGGGCAGAAAAGTGAGACTCTTATCTCCAATAAACTACTCAGAAAAAGCCAGAAGTGGTGCAGTGGCTCAAGTGGTAGAGCACTAGCCTTGAGCACAAAGAGGCAGTACCCAGGGCCTGAGTTCAAGCCCCAGGACTGACTGGCTATATATATATTTCTGTTATCCTGGCAGAGGAGGCAAAGCCTGGCACACACAGGAGGTGTGGAGGTGGCCTGGTAGAAGTGGAGGTGAATGGGATGAAATCTTCTACACTATTCGTAAATGTAAAAGTGGAAACAGCTTCAGGATCGGGGATCCTTGCACAGTGACTGTTGGAGCCGGGAGGAGGAGGCAGGACAGAAGGTGGACAAGGATGGCCAAGAAGGGACAAGGACAAGCAAAACTGCTGACCTAGACGCTCTGGCTGGTGGGAAATGGTCATGTTCAGGGCAGTGATGGGCTCTTGCTCACACTTGGCTTTTGCACTCAAAATGGGTGTTCTAATACTTTAGCCGCAGCTCCACTTTTGGCTTTTGGCTGATTTATTGGAGCTAACAGTCTCACAGACTTTCCTGCCCTGACTGGCTTCAAACGGTGATCCTCAGACCTGAGCCTCCTGAGTAGCAAGTATTATAGTCATGAGTCACCCAGGCCCGGCTAATGATAACTCTATTAACAGTAGTAATAGTAACGGTGGTGATATCAGCATTAATTATAATATTCAGCTCAGAGCTTCGTTATCAGCTGGATAGGCGTCCTCCCAAGCCCCGGGACCGGGTTTGGTTTTGGTATCATCCTAATGTGTCCAGGGTGACACATAGAGTTCGTCCCTGACATACATCCAGGGGTCGATTCTCGAGGTGTGTGTGGGGGGGTACAAGTGGGGTCCGGCAGGGACTGCGGAGTGGGAGAGGGAGGGGTTGGCTCAAGCCTGCGCAGGTGACAGGGGCTGGGCGAGGCCCCGAGGCTGGGCGGGGAGAAGGGCGGAGACGAGGCGGGGCGGGCGGACGCGGGGCCCTGCCCCGGCGGGCAGCTGGAAAAAGTTTGCGGCTGGGACTCGCCGGGGCAGAGGCTGAGTTGGCCGCATCCAGGGACGCGCGACCGAGCTGGGGCGAGGCGGCAGGACGAACCCCAGAGGGGAGGGGACCCCAGACCCAGAGCGACCTCCTGAACTGAAGCAAGACTGCAATCAGAGCCGTGGAAGCAGAGCCCCGATCCCACCGCGCGCTCGCGCCAGGATGCTGGCGTCCCAGACACCCTCTCCAGACAGACGTGAGTGGCGGGACGGGTCCTGGCCGGGGAGGGGGGGTGGGGGTGGGTTATTGGGTGGGGGGTCCCGGCTTGGGCGCGCTGGGGCGGGGGGGGACATTACTGGGTCCACTCTGAGGACAAAATTCCCCCCGATTCTGGGCCCGACTGTGACCTGGGCGCACGTGAGCGCTGCGGCCACGGCCACACTGGAGCGCCCCGCATCCGCACCCCCTACCCACATCCCCACCCCTCCGTGTGACCCAGCCACCCCGCCCCGAGGCAGAGGGCTGTAACTTCCTTGTCAACGACTGAGCTTTCTGAAAAAGACACTTGTATCTGGAAGAACCCGGACAGCGTTAGGTAGCTGATCCATAGAGAGGTCGCGGCGGTCGGTCGTTTTCTTTGGGTAGCCTAAAAAGCGAGGCGCCCTCCCTGGGGACTGGAAGAGTGGGACCTTTTTCTCCTGGACAAAGCATTCTTTGAAGTCCCATTAGCTGCCACATTCCAGTTTTCCTAACGTTTCTTCACCAAGACAATTAGAGCTGTCAGGATGGGAGCTGGAAGACCAAGTTCCCACAATGTATTAATGAGGTTCGCAGAGGAAAACTGGCCTGCCACATTCCTTACTGAGGTAAAGTGTAGGAAGGGGGCTCAGGGCTTTTAACTCCACAGTTTCTCAATGCCCTGTCTCTGTCTGGCTTTGGATACTCACAATGGCATATGCCTTGTGGCATTTTTATATTTCGATGTAAGAGATGGATTTCTTGCATAGTGTGTGTGTGTGTGTGTGTGTGTGTGTGTGTGTGTGTGTGTGTGTGTGTGTTGGTACTAGGGCTCAAGCTCAGGGCCTGGGCTCTGTCCTTGAGCTTTTGGGCTCAAGACTAATAGCACTTTACCACTTTAAGCTTTTGGGGGGTTCATTGGAGAGAAGAATCTCACAGACTTTCCTGCCCAGGATAGCTTTGAACTGTGATCCTTAGATCTCAGCCTCCTGACTAGCTAGGATTTATAGGTGTGAGCCACCAGTACCCAGCTTATCTTGCAGAACTTTTTAAAGGGAATATACTTTGTTTTGAACATTATAATTAGGAAGGGGTAGTCATGGAACAGAAGTTATTCATCTCTGTTTCGGATCTGAGGCCTCCAGAATTCTATATCTTTCTAAAAACTGGACATAGCAAATCATGGGTGGTGTTAGATTGTGGCATGTCTATAATTTAGCTTTGCCAACTTTTTTTTCATAGATGAAAATCTTGAAGGTAGGGTTAAGAAAACTGTATTTCCTGGAAAGCACAGGAAAAGATTGTGCTCTGTAGGTATATGATTGACGATGATTTTCTTGTGATGGTGGTAGTGGTAGTAGTACATTGTGTTTGAGGAGCTATGGGTAGGTCTAGATCTGTATAATTTCTTAATTGAGACAGAGAAATAATAATAGGAATAATAGGAAATAGTAATAGGAAAAATCCTTTTGTGGTCATGGAAGAACCACACATTGGTTTTTTTTTTTCAACCACAAACCAGCAGCCATTCTATCGGGCCTAAGTGCCACTGCCATTCCCTGACTCCAGAGATCTAGCCTAAAGACCAGCCTCTCAGACCTTCCTCTTAAGGTACAGAAAGAATGATGACATAGCCAGTTTTCATCTTGAAAAATGCTGTTTTTCTCTTTATATCTGTACGCTGGGGGAAAAAAAAAAGGATTCTTCCGATTTTCTACCATATATGGATGGGAGAAATTCTCATTTCCAGTGAAAGAAGCTTTACCTATTGGCCCAATGACCTGATTGCTTACAATTCACAAACTAATTTTCCTCTTTCTAGAAATTATGACACTTGCACGGTATCAGTTCATCTTCCTCACTCCTACGCTTGGTGTATGTACTTTTTGTGACAAAAAAAAAAAAAAATGAAGCATGTCATCATCTTGAAAAACATATGTTTGCTCCGTGGTAGAGCCCTTTTTCCTCTGCCAAAGCCTGAAACCCACTCCTTTGAGCAGTCTATGTGTGTTGGCTGGGACCATGGGGCTATAGGTTACCTCGCTTTTCTCTCTTTTCATAAATCCCTTCATCCCTTTCTTGATAGATTTTAGATTCCGTTGCTTCTTGTTTTCTAGTCAACTAACTTCTTTCAAGGGAATTTCCATAAGCTTTTGGAGGTAATAATATGATGTGTAAGCTTCCTTTAATAAGGCATTTCAATCATTGCTTTTGTTAGCACTATGGGACATAATGCTTTCTCTCCCTTTCCCATTTTCTTTCCCTCTCCCTTTCCCTTTCTCTTTCCCTCTCCTTTCCCCTTTCTCTTTCTTTCTCCCTGTCCCTTTTCCTCTCCCTTTCTTCATTTTTCTTAGTATTCCATTTTTGAGGGACCGGACAAGGACCAATTCAGTGAGGTTAAAGATTCCATGGAGTGCTGCCCCAGTGGGTGACTTTTCCCCGTCAGCAAGCTGTGCAAGTGTCCAGGCACAGTGAGCTTCAGGGAGGCCCTCACATGGTTCACCATACTCTTGGCTTGGACATTTCCACTCCATTTCCTTGGCTCCAGAATTTTTTTTTACATATTTCAATAAAGCCCCTGAAACAGCATCCTGACATTTTACTAGTACAGTAGCTAGAAGCAACTGTAATACACACTGCTGAAGCTCTTGAGACCTCTTATAGGACAAATGGGAAGGTGACAGCCTTATCCAGAGCTGGTCTCTGATGGGATAGTCCAGAACCAGATGGGCATCCAGTCCAGCTAGGCTCTACCAATAGTGACCCATAAGGATATATGTTCCCTAGCAGCCTCATTCCCATGGCACACACCACTGTAGGGACCAGACATGACATGGAGGGACCATAGATGAACATCTTGGACAGGATACTTCTCATTCACCTGTCTTTAGCTCGGTCATGAAACCTATTTTCTCTGCCCCTCTATTTTGTTTTGTGGTAGTCTCTGTAGTAATTTAGTTCCTTTCCCTCGGGATAAGCAGAAAGAGAAAGCTTGAATATGATGGAGGAGAGAGCAATGGAGGCAGCTAGAAAAAGACTGTGTCAAAGTCTGTTGCCTTCCATGGATAAGTCTGGAAACCCAGGAGACTGTTAATGGGGAAGACACTTGGGGCCCTCCATACTGAGGGTTTCCTGAATGATGCCCAGCTCTGTAATGGCACCCTAGCTTTGTTTGCCAAAGACAAGGACCATGTGAAAAGCCACAGGGATGCAGGAAGCCCTCAAGCAGCCATTTACCTTTACCTGGTTTGTCAGTGGTGATTATTATCCCTCTCCCCTCTGGGGCCCTTCACTGTTAGGCTCAGATCAAGTGTCAAGTGCATGGGCCTGTGTGTGCAAAGGCTGCATTTTGCCAATAGACTATCTCTGGAGGCAGAGTGAGGTCACCCAAGAAACCCAGAGCAGGGGAAAAGACTCATTAGCAAAGGAATTTTTCTGGAGTCTTGAAAGGGCCAGCTCATTATTTCCTAAGTCCTTTTGAAAGGGGGGGGGGCAAGGAAGAAAAGAAGGAGAGAAGGAAGGAAGGGAGGAGGGAAGCAGGAAGGAAGGAAGATCTGAGGATCAACAGTTCAAAGGTGCCGGGGCAAGAAGGTCCATGAGACTCTTATCTCTACTTAATAACCAAGAAGCTGGAAGTAACACTATGGCTCAAGTGGTAAAGCACTGTCCTTGACCAAAAAAAGCTTAGGGACAACACCCAGGTCCTGAGTTCAAATCACAGTATAATCTCTCTCTCTCTCTCTCTGTCTCTTTCTCTCTCTCTCTCTCCACACCCACACACACCCACACACACACACACACACACACACACACACACACACACACGAAGGAAAAATACTTGCTTTCTGAGTTGTGTTTTAATTCGGTTGGAAGGATGAAGGATGATTTCCCAGGGAAGACATGCGTCTAAAAAATATATATAGTGTCCCAAATCTGACCAAGGGAAATTTGTGCATTCTTGAGGAGGGGAAAGGGCAGGAGGAGGAGAAAGGGGCTAGACATCGTAGAAATATTTTCTGCCCTCCTCCTTTCCTTCCTTTTATAGTTTGTTTACTTTTCAAAGTACCCTGTGTGGAGAAAGTGAGTGACCAGTGTGGGGAGCACATCTGGAGTCCATCTGCCCCTCTCCCAGGCTCACCTTCCCCAGGGACGCTTCCTTTGGAGCCATGGGGGAAGGGAGGCTTCCCTGACATTAACACACTCTAACTGGGGGTTATCCAGCACAGAATCACCTCCTAGAAGGCATCCTTCTCCTTCTCAGCCAAAAGCTGTTGGTGTTACAATGTCTTGAGGTCGTCTGAATGATTTGAGCTTCATGAGGCCAAGGGAAACACTGAAGTTACAGGGATTCTAAGGGAAGGGAAGCTGAGATGTGGGCAGTGGCTTGGGGAAACACAGAATGACTAGTGATACAGATGTGAAATACTGAAGTCTTTATCAGAGCTGGGGGTGCACAAGTACTAAGGGGTCCACCCTGGTCCTCAGGGTGATCTCTTGGTGCAGGACTTAGAAGTGAGTGCTGGGTGCTAATGAACTTTCAGGCAAGGATCTGCTAAGGAATTCCTGTTGGTTAGAGAAGTACTGCTGCTTCGCACCAGTGGTTTAGCCCTGTAATCCTAGCTACCTCAGGAGGCTGAGATAATGAGGATCATGGTTCAAAGCTAGCCTGGGCAGGAAGCTCCCTGAGACTCTTATCTCCAATTAACCACCCAAAGTTGGAAATGGCTGTGGCTCAAGTGGTAGACTGCTGTCTTTGAGCATAAAAGCTAAAGGAGAGAGTAAACCCTTGAGATGAAGCCCCAGTACAGGCACAAAGAAGGAGGAAGCAGAAGAGGAGGAGGAGGAAGTGGAGGAGGAGGAGGAGGAGGAGGAGGAGGAGGAGGAGGAGGAGGAGGAGGAGGAAGAAGCAGGAGGATGCTAATGAGAAGAAAGTATCTGTATCTCCGTGTGGGTTTCCATATTCCCATACCTTCTGGAATATGCCTCAGTGTCATATGCAAATATATATATATAACTAGTCTACATATAGCTACAGTTCATGACATTGGACTTCCTTTTTAAATGTTCATGTGGAAATTAAGCTGCATAAGGCTTACAATGTCACTGCCACCTCTAGCTTTAGTCTTTTCTGATAAAGCAAAATGCAAACCTGTCTATTATACCAGTCCTGCCCTGTATGCATTCCCCCCACAACCCCACCCATGCATACACATCCTGAGTCTCTCCACATACACCTGTTTTTCAGGGTAGCCTAAATGATCACTGGTCAGTAATCTCTAGAAAGCCCAACACCTCTGTGTCATGGTTAAAGCTCACTTTAGACACTCGCCTGCCACTCAGAAACCAAGGGCGACTGGTAAAAATGTGGGCACGTACTCACCAAGAGAATATCTCAATCAATCTTCACAGCATCACTTAGGTGATGGAAGACATTACCTGTGACCATGATCCGCAGTGAACAGAAGGTGGTATGTGTCCCCACAGGATAGGTGATCCCCTAGCCATGATCCACTTGAGCAAATGTGCCAGACACAGCTGTATCTAGTGGCCCCATTTTCTTCTAAGAACAGAAACAAGCTAGACTTGCCTTGGGGGAGAGGGGTGGGTGAGACATGCATACTGTTGTCATACTCAGGGTTGGGAGTGATGACCAGGAGAGGTAGAGGTACCCTGAGGGGTGGGGCCTATCCTCTTACTGGTCTAGGTGCTGACTTGAAGTTGTTTCTGAGCCGTGGCAGGCTGGTCTCCAAGCATGCATCATTCTTGAAGAGCCTTCCTTCCACCTCATTCCTGTCAGGGTTCACTGGTGCCAGGGGATGAGGTGGAACTTTCTTCCAACAAACTCTCCAGAGGAGAGAACTTTTCTATAACATGCTTTTGACCATGCATAAAGATGCGTAGACATAGCCACAATCGATAGCACTTTTTGATTCCTAGCTCAGCACTTAACTCTCAGCTTTGTAATTATTGATAATCCAGAGGGGAAAAAAAATGTACTTTAGGATTCTGAGGAGAATCAGATATCTCCCAATTGCGAAGGCAGAGAATTATGCTTAGCAAAGGATGTGCTACAAAAACATGTGCCTTGAATCATAAATATTTAATTAAAGAAATGATACAAGCATTCATGGAGATGTAAAGCATGCTTGTCCTCAGAATTCATAGTCTTGAGTTTCTGGCACGGATTCTATTCTTTTTGTTGTGGTCATTTTTTATTAGTTACTTGTTTGTATTGTTTGCTTGTTTTTCTTCTGTTCTGTTCAGCTCAATGTTCCTTTTGCTCATACAAAGGCTTCAATTCACAGGCTTGTACTCCCCCTTAGCTTTTTTTACTTCAAGATTACTTTTCTACCACTTGAGCCACAACTGCACTTCTGCCCTTTTGCTGGTTAATTGGAGATAAGATTCTCTCAGATTTGTCTGTTTGGTCTGGCTTCAAACCATGATCCTCAGATCTCAGCCTCCTGAGTTGCTAGGATTACAGGTGTGAGCCACCTGACTTTCTACTCAGCCTTAAATTCAGGAGGAAAAGGAAAGATGTCAGCTTGCAGAGCCTGTGTCTATGAACTCTTTGCTCTTTCTCTTGAGCATCTCTTGAGCCATTTTAAAGAGATTTCCTTCCCTTCTACCTCACTTTTGACCCAAATCCTAGGTGTTGCTGACTTTCAAAGTGGGTATGGGATTGTCTTGAGATAATGTGAGGCACAGGAGACAAGCTGACTCAGCACAGGAACATTTTAAATTGTAAACATGGCCCTGTTACCTAAAAGGCTGGGGCCTGTCGGGCTGCTGTTGAAATCCCACTCCAGCTGAGAGACAAGACTTCTGGCATTGGCATTGCAGTTACCTTCTGGACAAGCTTGTCCGTCTCTGGGACAGAAGCCCCTGATAGCAGAACAGATAGCCCAAGGATATACTGAGGCAAACTTGGGCACAGTGGTAGCATGGATGGCACCATGACAGCCTGGCAGGGAGGGTGCAGGATACAGGATAGTTCCTCTGGCAGCTGTGCAAACCTAGTAGGTCCACTAAGCAGTATGGCACAGCAGTCTCTAGCCCAGCTATGGTGGGGGCCGGGTACTTCACCCACTTCATGCCAAGCCTATTCTCTGGGGACAGCCCTTTCCTGCTTTTGTCTCAGTGAGCTCATGAGATGCCCCTACTTTGGGATAGAAATGGAACAGGGAGGGCATGGACACAGTAATTCTGTGGTCCACCTTCACAGATGAAAACGTAAGTGGACAAGGAACAGAAAGGGGCACATGAATTGCTTGACTACCTACGTATTAATATATAAGGTGCTGGGCCTGATAACTCCAACTGCAGCATGTTAGCAGGAGTATACCTTGACATACTCTAGGCAAAGCATATCACACGTTAATGGCTTTCCAGTCTATGCTCTGAAAACTTCAGCTGCACCCAAGGTTTCTCCCAGTATGCAGCATTCAAGCTGTCCTTGACTCCATTCCTCTGGATCTCACACAGCCTTCGTGGAGGGGCTGGGTAGAAGCAGTTCCTGCCAGTGAACAGACAGCAGCTCAGACAGCTCCCAGGGCCTACAGAACAGTGAATTCTGTCAAGCTCCAGGGAAGAAATCTCTACCAGGAAGCTATGGGTTGCCAGCTACCCCTGGCTCACGCCTGTAATCCTAGCTACTCAGGAGGCTGAGATCTGAGGACCAAAGTTCAAAGCCAGCCCAAACAGTTAAGTTTCCTGAATAGCTATGATTATAGGCATAAACACTGTTACTTGGCCTTCCATTGTATATTTAAATAGTCAAATGATTTTAATGTAAAGTAAGTGAATCTAGAAAGATACCACATGTTCTCAGTCACATGCGATTAACCTAAAAAGGTGTTTCTGTGAGGATAATGGTCACTAAAAGCTGAGAGTCAGGATAGGAGGAGACTGGGTAATGGGTCCAAGGTACAGATGCATAAGCTTTAGATGTACAGTAAGGTGGCTTTACTTTACAATACACTAGTATTTATTTTATAAAGAGGAACTCAGAACATCTCAACACAAACAAATGATCCATGTTAAGGAGATAGAAATACCAATTATCTTTATTTGATCAATACACACTGTGTAATACACTGAATTATTCACTCTATCCCATATACATATATATAGTTTTATATATATATATATATATATATATATATATATATATATACCTATTAAATGGATGCTAATCCATGGAAAGGAATGTTTGACTTGAGAGCTGGTAGGCAGCACCATTAATATCACAGGAGGACAATTAAGATGACCGCTGGGGACAGACTGGATGTACCCAGGGCATGAAGAGAGGAAGAGTGTTCAAATTCAAAACCCACTGGGGGTCGGTGCTTGGCTGTGCGGCCTTTGCTATCTCAGGGCTCCTATGGTGCCGTATTTTCCCGCTCAAATTTGCACGCCTCTGATTCCTTTTTCTTTCTAGTGCCGAGGATTGAACCCAGGGCTTTCAGCATGCTAAGAACACACTGTATCACTGGAGCGACATCAGCCTAGGCCTCTGCATTTTAAATTCTTCCCAGAACTCATGTCATCACTTTTCCTTTCTTTCTTTATCTCAGTAAAGCCAGCTGCTACTGTTTGTGCCCATTTATATTCCTTCCCAGCAGCCACCAGCTCAGCGAAGTGGCTTCAGGGCCCCCATCCCCCAGGCTGCTCTTCCTGTCCTGACTGCATGGTCAGGCCTTAGGGCTCTCTGCCAGGTGGACCAAAGGCCCATCCAGACTTCCAGGGAGGCCGCCCAAGGCAATAATGGGTACTTCCCACGGTGTCACGCCAACACTCATCAGGGAGGTCTCAGAAGTCCAGTGGGCATCATTTTGGCTCCATCTTGGGTTTTCTTGTTTGTTTTGATTTGTCCTGAGAAAAATCCTGTTTCCCTCTGGGTAACAGGGGATAATGGCTTACCAGCTCCCTTGTGGTAGATGAGGACTAACACACTAGCATTTCCTGGTTAGTGCTTGGAAGTTTCTAAGTGGGAGGCTCTATTTGGGACTGTGCACGTTGGATACATGATTAAATGATTCACGCATGGAATTGCTCTGTCCTGAAACTCCAGACCCCTCATCATTTTCCCTGGCCTTTATCACCACTCAGAGGGTTGGCCTGCGTTTAAACCCCTCTCTCCAGCCCTGATCCTGCCAGCTCTCTGAAGGTTTCAGAGTTTGTCATCCACAGTTTCTTAAGGTGGGTCACTTCATCTATGGCTTTTGCTCCTTTCATCTTGTTCTAGGAGGCTGTTTTCAACATCCCTGCTGGAGTGTGGCCTGCACACGTTCCTGAAGCCGCACTGCAATCCTGGTGGTCCTCTGAAATGAATGTTCCCTGGGCGCCCTCTTGTGGGTTGTGGAGGTAACCATCTGTCATCGCCAAGCCATGACAACCATGCTTCCGCCACACCCACGGCCCGCCTTGGGAAATGAGACTCTGTTGGCACATTACAACTATGTGGGGAAACTGGAGGGTAGACTGCGGGACCCCCCTGAGGACAGCACCCTCACCACCATACTCTTCTTGGTTGTCTGCAGCTTTATTGTCTTGGAGAATCTGATGGTTTTGATCGCCATCTGGAAAAACAATAAATTTCACAATCGCATGTACTTTTTCATTGGTAACCTGGCTCTCTGTGACCTGCTGGCTGGCATAGCTTACAAGGTCAACATTCTGATGTCGGGCAAGAAGACATTTAGCCTGTCTCTGACGGTCTGGTTCCTCAGGGAGGGCAGTATGTTTGTGGCCCTTGGGGCCTCCACCTGCAGCTTACTGGCCATCGCCATTGAGCGGCATTTAACCATGATCAAGATGCGGCCCTACGATGCCAACAAGAAACACCGAGTCTTCCTCCTGATTGGGATGTGCTGGCTCATTGCCTTCTCCCTGGGTGCCTTGCCAATTCTGGGCTGGAACTGTCTGCAGAACTTTTCTGACTGCTCAACCATCTTGCCCCTCTATTCCAAGAAGTACATCGCCTTCTGCATCAGCATCTTCATAGCCATCCTGGTGACCATCGTCTTCTTGTATGCCCGCATCTATTTCCTGGTCAAGTCTAGCAGCCGCAAGGTGACCAATCACAGCAACTCAGAGCGCTCCATGGCCCTACTGCGAACTGTGGTGATCGTGGTGAGTGTGTTCATCGCCTGCTGGTCCCCCCTCTTCATCCTCTTCCTCATTGATGTGGCGTGCAGGGTAAAGGAGTGCCCCATCCTATTCAGGGATCAGTGGTTCATCATGCTGGCTGTCCTCAACTCTGCCATGAACCCTATCATCTACACATTGGCAAGCAAGGAGATGAGGCGTGCCTTCTTCCGGCTCATCTGCAGCTGCCTGGTCAGGCGCAAGGGGGCCCGGGCCTCACCCATGCAACCTGCTCTTGACCCAAGCAGAAGCAAATCAAGCACTAGCAACAACAGCAATCATTCACCAAAGATCAAGGAAGAACTACCCCACACAGCCACCTCTTTCTGCATCACTGACAGAAACCGAACACTTCAGAATGGGATCCTCTGCAAATGAGCGTCTCCATGGGACCAGCTGTGCAGCCATGCTCTTATTTATTGCATGTGTCCCTTCCATGTGGGCCCTTAAAAAGCTTGACTTGGGAAAGCTGTTGCCCAAGAGCCTGCCCAGTGTGGAAATCTCCCGAGAAGGGGGCCCCAAGAACTACCAACCCATTTCAATGTAGATGATGTGCCCTGGCTGCTTCAGGCCCCAGAATCTTCCGCATGTACTAAGCTGCTGACACCATCCATTGCCTTCCATGGAGTCCTGGACACCACCTGCTCTTGTCCCCAGGGAGGGAAGATCATACTGCACAGTGCACAGGGTGTTCATTCCTCTGTAGGCCTCTGGATGATATTCTGATAACTTCACACTACATTTATTATGCATAAAGAATAGGTGCTCATATATTTGTCCATTTTGGTTGCGTCTGAGTTGTGTTCCGGGCCTTTGCAGATAGAGCCCACAGAAAGTCTCAGTACTGGACACAGTACTGAGTGATTGTACAGACATACCCTGACTGCAGCCCCGGGGTCAAGGACAGGGTGTGGATAGGCGGGCACTCCACTGCACGTCTCCACAGGCTGATATAAAGTCTTGGAATAAGCACGTTTTTTAAAGGCCCAGAGTCCACAGAAAGGCTTTTCTGAGTCCAGCCCAGATGTATGAGTCTAACCAAACTCAATCTGGATTCCTTCCTTTGTGTATTCCCTGTGTGTGATTGTTTTGGGGCTGTCTGCAAAACACAGAAAAGCCAGCCAGGATCTTTCAGGACTCTGGGGAGACCACCAAAGAAAAAAGAACTATGAGTCTGCTTACTGTAATGAAGAGCTTCCAAAGGAGAGGTTTACAAGATACCACTATGGTTCTAGATCATGTTTGATTCTATATCACAAAAGCACAGTCTCCATGCTGTGAGGAGCTTGGCCAAGGAACTGAGGCCATCAGCAGTTTCCCAGCTTTCTACAAAAGCAAGCCTTGACCGTGACTGCTCTTAAGAATTGCAGATTGTCAGGAAATGTAACCTGGCCATTTCTGTCTTCTTCATAGAGCTGACCTGTTGTAAGTCTTACATGATATACTGTAAGTTTATTTTTCAGTTGATCCTGTATTGCTCTGATGACCTTATAAAGAGAAAGCAAAACAACCTCTTGTATGAGCTCCTTGCCCAGGAGTGTGAATGCAATACATGGATGAGAAGTAAACACAAACATAGATCTAGTGCATACCCGCCATTACTGTATTGAGCTCTTTGTGACAACACAGACAAAAACAACCTTCAATAGGATTCTCATTTGGGTGAGCCTCATAGCAAAGCCCCTTGAAGTTTTAGAAACTCTGTGAGAATTTTGTCTTATTAAAAGGATTTAATAAGACAGAATAGTCATGACACATGAATGACTTCTAGAAGAAATTCATGCCTAGATGTTGCCTGATGTAAGTTACTCTTATTTAGGAACTTTCCATTGAGTCTTGACTAACTTCCACGTATTTACCAAAGACTTATATAATTTTTGTTTGTGATGAGAATTTACTAGTCAAGAAATACTCTAGGGGGTATATATTGTTGCCTTGTAGCCTGAGAAAAGCCTAGGGCAGTTCTATGGAAGCATTCAGATGAGAAAAAGAAAACGTGAAAAGAAAGCATTCAGAAGTCAAGACACATTTTCTCATGAGACATGAAATTAGAACTTTATCTGGCATGTTTCTGAGTTGCATTGGAGGCCTTGGATCTCTGTTATTAATATTAATTAGTACCACTTTGCCTATAATCCAGACTTCTCCATATGTACCAATGTCATTCATTAGTCCTTAAGGAGCCACACCCATCATTCTCACCAGGGAGTGCCATGTTTGTGGCATGGCGTAAGATCCTTGGCAATATCACAAAACTTTCAAGCAATTGAAATTTCAAATACACTAAAATTTTTATTTGCTTATATGATATATGCAAAAACCAATCACATTTGCTACCCATATGCACTTTTCTAACTAGCCAGGCAGTAAAGAGATACTTTAGAAGTTAACCATGCCAAAGCCCTTATCTTGAAGGTTGGAAACAGGAGCTCTTAAATGCCTCAGAGAACCTACACATTAGACCTCATTGCAAGTAGCAATGTTTGTTTTCTAGTATGTGTTTGTTAAATAAAACCAAAAAGTTTTTCTATAAACCCATTCTTAGGAGTCTGTGTATGGTGGCTTGTTTTCTGGTTTTCACCAGGATGACCCCTCAAAGTGTACGGTATGGTGGGCTTACTTTTTACCTCTTACCTGTGCTGATTAGCATTTTGGGAATAGACCATATTTAGAAGCCTAAACCAGCATCTACTTTTACCTTTCCCCACTATGGTAGATGGTGGTGTTTTTCTTTCAAATATTTTTATTATCTTTAAGTAGTTGTACAAAGGAGTTGCCATTCACCAGTTTACAAATACAGTGCATCTTGATCAATGTCACCCCTTTTTATGTTCTCACCCACCATTCCCAACCCACCCCTTCCCTTACTTACCTTTGTTTTAGGTTATGTATTTAACTTTTTTGCCTTTTAACAAAGCAGTACATCTTGATCTGTGTCATCACCTCAACATCTTCACCCTACTTGGATCCTTATATTTCACAATTCTGTGATATATATATATATATATATATACACACACACACACACACACACACACACACACACACACAGGCAGGGAGCCCACTTCCCTACTTTATTCTTCTATCTCTCTCCCCTTGGCTCTACCCTACCCAACTGAAAGTACCTATTTCCTAGTACTTATTTTGATTGGCTTTGAAGTAAGTCTTTTTAAAGAGTTACACTATTTGGGCTCTACATCGAGTCTATTATATTTCAGTTAATTTATTTGTGACCCCTTGCTTACAACCCAGTGTGTTTACTTGTAGATTTATAGACACATTCCAGCCACCACAAATGAGGGAAACCATGCAACCTATTTTCTCTGGGACTGCCCCTTTACTTCACTTAATATATTTTTTTCCAAGTCTTTTAATTTTCTCATGAATGGTACAATATCATTCTTTCTGAAACCATAAAGAGACAACAATCCAGTTAATAAATGGGCTAATGACTTAAAGAGAGACTTCAGAAGAAGTAAAAATGGCCAATTGACAGATGGCTATAAAAGAAATGCAAATCAAAGCAACACTGAGATTGTATTTCACCAAAATTCTAGATGTGGCCAAAAGGGAACTCTGTTATACTGTTGGTAGGAATGTAAACTTGCTCAGCCACTCTGGAAAGCTGTAGGGAGGTTCCTCAACAGACTAAACATAGAGCTCCCTGTGACACAGCATTCATCCAATAGAGAACAAATAAGGCCACACTAAAGCTGCCAGCACAACCATGTTCATTGAAGCATTATTTACCATAGCCATGATATGGAATCAGTCCAGATGCCCCTCAGTGGATGACTGGATCAAGAAAATATGGTATTATACACAGTAGTGTTCTATTCACCTATTAGAAAGAATGATATTGTAAATGGTGTTTTAATGGAGCTTTGGTGTATTGAGTACTATTGCTACCAGTTTGGTAGATTCTACTGTTTTTAGGAAGGTAATAATAGACAGTTGTTAGAGCCCTAGGCTCTGATTTCTTTGCTATGGTACTTTTTAGAGTTGAAATCAGGTCATATCAGCCCACTGTACTGCTTTCTCCTCCTCAAGTGGTGGGTATACATCTTTCTATCCCAGGTCCCTTATAAAAAACAGCTGGTATCTGACATAAATGTTCTGGTGGTGACATTGCAGTTCATGAAGTTCCTCCAATACCATCAAGCACTGCAACTTTCTGGCTCATCTGCTACCTTTGATCCTGTCCATGGCCAACTAGATGTTTAGTGATCACAAATTTGGCACCAATACCCTAAGGACATTTCTGCCAAGCTGTCAGTTTTTCTACTTGAAGAATAGCTTGAGAATATAGCTTTTCTAGAGAAAAGTTGCATGATGCCTTCCTCTTTTTTGTGAGACGTGTGAGATCCATTATCCAAATGACATACTTTTCACAATAATCTTTATTGCCTTCAGACTTGCATCATTAGTCATCAAAACAATTAACTATTAAAAATGATGGTTTCTCTCAACTGTTGAACCATAGTTACTCTAAGTTGGTAAAGGGCCTTTCACAGAAATGGTCACAAGGTGCATTTTATAGACAACATCTAGTTACATTGCCAGTTACATTGCCATCCCATGCTTTTAAGTTGTATGTACAAGTGCAAAACCTCAACACCCAAACTTTTTTAGTATCTAAATCAAATATCCCAAGGGATTGCTATGTAATCAGAAATACATGTTTCACTATGTGGACAATGAAGGCACATTTTCTGATATAACCAATTAGTATGAGAAATTCAGCATTGCCTAAATTAAATGTGTCAACCTTCCACTCTGAGGCTATGGTGATGACATTTGGAGTTGCTACTTGCCGCTTGACACCTGGTGATCCCCAAAGCACAGGGTTATACCTGCTCCACAGTAAACAGCTTGTGAGTGGAACCCATGCCATTCCCAGAAGAAGACTGAATTCTCTAGCAATGAGGGGGGGGGGGGGGGCATTGGATCCAACTACCTTCCCCTATGTTGTTGGAAGTCCAAATCATTAGCCAAATAAGTTGGATTTTATCATTTCCCAAAGAACAAAAATTACAAAAACAAAAACCCTGAAGTCAGTTTGATATTTCCCCTCCTCAAAGATGTCCGAGAGTCAATACTATTCCATTCCAAAGTAGGAAAGGGGTGACTTGGCAATATACCCAGACAAATTGTTACAGTAATTCTTAGTTTTACAAAATGTAATCGAAGCCAAACAAAGTTTTCAAATAATAATGATCAATATGTATAATTAGCCATCCATTTTTTTTTTAAATCACTAAATACCTTTAGTATTACACAATTTAGTTGATATGAAGCCAAAGTCTCCTCATCCTGGGATTGAAACACGAAATATTTAATTTTGACTACAAAGCAACATTCACATAACTTAATGTCACAACATTCTGGAACAAGTTATATTCAAAAGTCAAATGAACAGAGAACATTTCACTGGGAACTCATACGCAATTGTTACAAAAATAAGAACTCCATGTTCAGAGGTGGATTTGACCATTCGTTTCTGTGCTTGATTTCCATGGTGGGTTAAGAACTTTGGCTGTGTTGAACATGTCTACGTGTGTGTCAGTGAGTCCGTAACCTCAAAAACTCACAAGGTCTCCCCACCCACACATCCAGGCATTAATTTTAAACTACAGTGATTTTAAAAGAGCCCACACAACGGATACTTAAAAATGTGATGTTCCATTTCCTGTGGTTTCTCCTTTGTGAATGTTTCTCCCATCCCAAGGGAAGAAGCCTGTGTGCTTGAAGTCTTAGGAAATCACTTATTCAGGGCATCTGAGGCAGCAGGGAGAGGAAAGGAAGGCTAGGAGTCGCCCCCTTCCCTCCAGCATCCTGCTGATCCCAGGCTCTTGCTGTCCTGGCCTACCTAGTCTTGAGTCTCCCACACCCTCTCCTACCTCTTCTGACCCTGCTTTATGCCGTCTGGTGCCTTATATCAGCTGCTCCAGCTGACGCACAAGCACAAGACACACAATCATACTCCACCACTCTCAGGTTTTCTACCACATTATACACTCAAGCAGGTCTTCCTAGGTTTACTTCTCTATCCTAAGAGCCTAGTTCAGAGCTTGCCACAAAGGAATTGATTTATTAATGGCCAGGAATACTGATTAGAATAAGGCAGGGGGCTGTGTTGATGCAGGAACCCAGTATGCCACCAAGAACACAGCCTCCTTCATGGTACAAGGAGTTGTGTGCTGCTAGATAAAGGTGTGAAATTTGAGGTGTTCTATTCTTGTTTTCTCCTTTTTCTTCTTTTTTACTTTTGATTTGTGTGTGAATGCTAGTAAATAGCAGTGTCCCTAAATGTTTTTTTTTTTTTCTGGTTCTCTATAATTTGAGCCACAGCCCCACTTCCAGTCTTTTAATGGTTAATTGGAAACAAGGATCTGCTGGACATTTCTGCTTGAGCTGGCTTCAAACTACAATCCTCAGATCTCAGCTCCTGAGTATCTAGGATTACATGGATTGGCTACCTGTGCCTGGCCATTTTTACTTTTATCCTAGCTCTGTCTTCCTTTCCTTGTCTTCACCTGCTGGCTTCTCTTTCCTCTTGTCCTCTGTTATGGTCCTCTGTGCCTCTCCTTTGTGCCTTGTTCCGGCTCCCTTTGTGTTGAGTCTCAAATCCTATAGCATCTAGGCCTCTCATCCCTGTGTCTGTGGATGCCAGGACCTGTCAATCAACTCTCAAGGCTTGTTTGACTTCTAGTTGTCTTTGTTAGTTACAAAACCCTAGGAATCCCAGGGTATATAGAACACAGCCAAGCTGTGTGTGGACATACTCACAGAGGAGATGCATGTCATTTTAATCAATGTGAGTATATATATATGTGTGTATATACATATGCAATTCACATTCATAAGTCCTGGAATAAGGTTGCAAAATTTTGGCTGCTATAAAATATGCCAGTTTTAAAACTTCATTTGTTGCTTGCAAACTTATAAATATGTATAAACCTTATTATAAATATATCGCGTCTGGCAGATGGCATTTTATCTGCCAGCAACAGTTGCATGGAGTTGGAAGTGCTTATTAATTCATTTTTATTTTATTTTATTTTATTTTGTGTGTATATTTATGTATGTTGGTACTGGGGCTTGAACTCAGGCTTGGGCACCATTCCTTACCTTTTTTTCTCAAGGCTGGTGCTCTACTGCTTGAGCCATACCTCCACTTCTAGCTTTTTGCTGGCTAATTGGAGATAAGAACCTCTCGAGTTTGCTTGCCCCATCTGGCTTTTTCAGATCTCAGCCTCTTGAGTAGCTAGGATTATAAGCATGAGCCACCAGTACCCAGCTTAATTCTCCATTTTTCTATTCACAGCATGGATCCTGGTATCTATGAAAACTTAATCATAAAAAAGAAGGGTCAGCTCTGAGTAGGAGCTTAGGAAACTGAAAACTGTCATCAGTTGGTGGTTCTCAAAGTCAAGACTCCTGACTGGTCTCATCTGTATCCCTTCAAAATGTATTTGTGATGCAAATTCTCAGATCCCCTGAGTCAGGACCCCTTCTGACCCAGATCCTCTGAGTCAGGCCCTCAGGAAGCAGAGCCCTGTGATTTGCCTGTGAACCTACAAACAGGGTTCTGATGTAGACCTTCCACTCCAAGCCTGCTCATTAGACACCTTGGACACCTGCCTATGTCCAAGGACATCCTCTAGGTTGTAAAGGGTGCCCAGGCATGCGCCAACTGGCCAGAAATTGTCCCTGTTCTATACCAAGCTCTGATCTCGGAAGCAAAGAAGCCCTGCTTCTTTATTGAGAGGGAGACTCAATGTAAAGCTGGAGGATGGAGTGTTCCATACTAAGTTCCACAAAGGAGCTTAGTAAGTGCTGCATTGTTTCTTAAAGTCAGCACTGACTGGCGCCATCTCTGAGAGGTCACACAGCTCCAGTTTCCTCCAGCTCACCTAGTAAAGCCAACTATTCTGTTGATCTCATGTGAAGCCTGAGCTTTTCAATCGGTTCCAGGCACAGGGGTGTATCTACTTTATCTTTCTTAGAGAACACATTCAAAGGTTCCAGGCGAGGCAGAGTTATACCAAAAGCTACTGCAAAGATTCATATGGATGCAACGCTATATTTTTCAGTCTTTCCATAATCCTTCTACTCACTTCCAATCTGGCTACGGCTGTGCACAGGAAGATTACAGATAGCACACATCCTCGGGCTCCCTGGGCAAGGGAGTCCATGTGTGCTTTTATGAATGAAGGATCTCAGGGAGTCACTGTTCAGGAATGGCATATATTCATCAACCCCTAACACTGTCGTGGTAGGAACAGTGTGTGTCCTGCCCAGTGGAGCAAGCCACAACTTAGAGAAATCCAGCTTGAAGCTGGTTGGAGCTAAGGCTGAACACAGGAGTCCGCTGTGGCTATACTGCCCCACACAGGTCTGTAGTCCAGGCTTCTGCTCAACTCAGCCCAACAGGAAGGAAAGATGACACTGGCACCAAGTGGCAACTGAAGCAGAGGGAAAGGATGTCCACTCTAACGCCTCACTTAGATAAGGGAGCTGCATGATGTTCTGGGGCTACTAGGAGAAAGCTTCACTTCAGGAGCTGGGGCACCTGCAGACCTCAAGGATAAGCATGGAGCCTAGACATGCACGATCCATGACCTTGCATCCTTGGGCTCTTTAGGGTCTAATCCTCCCTAGGTCTTTGTCTCCATTTATGGCTTATCAGTCTGCCACTGGGACACCTTCAGAGATACCATATGTGGTTTGTCTGGGCATTGGTCCATCTGTCTCAACACTGGCAATGGCCTGAATCAGAAATTTGCTCATCAAGACTGAGCAGGCACTTAGTCTTGTAGTTCCTCAAATATTAGAAGTCTCACCTATGGTAGCTTAAACAGAGGGTGGAAAACTGAGTGCTTTGGCCATATCATTTCTCAGATTGCCATGCTACCACCGGGAGACATTGAGGGCCAGCTTGGGTGGTCAAGAATCATAATTGACTGGACCAAGATGAACAACCCCACGGGGTGTCCCAGTCTGTCTCGCCCAGATACAGATGCCATTTAAAACGTGCTAATTTACCCAGAAGAGTAGGGGTGCTGCAGGGCTACTGCTCAAGGACAGAGAGGGAGTGATTTAAAGACTGTGGGACCCTATCTTTGCACTCCCAGAAGAGGGCCAGTGTGGCCTGGGCACATTCCATAGGCCCAGGGTAGCCCTGCCTGGCACGCAGCCACTGGGCCCCGAGAGTCAGAGTCCTTGAGTGCATGACAGAGCATGATTCTGCCTGTGTTTGCTGTCCAATAGCCCTGCCAGACCTGAGCAGAAATGGAGTCTAAGAATCATGGGGGAAGGTGGCCCAGGCTGAGTAGGAAGGAGGCTCTGCTGCAAGCAGATCCTATGCTCCAGGCAGCCCTCAGGGAGGGTTGAGTGAGGCAGGCTGGCTCTGCTGCCAGCTAATCACATGGCCTGGAGCAAGCCTTGGTTTCCCCATGTGTGAGTAAGGCTCCCAGGAACACCCCATCATGTGGCCCTTGAAGAAAGAGGTGAGATAATTAGCTCACAGGCCCTAACACACTTTACCAACAGAAGAGAGAGGGGGGTGGGGGTGGGGAAGATGAGAGAACTGTCACCTGCTACTTCTAAAATCTGCTCTGATTAAAAAGAAATGCTAGAGTTTTTTTTTCCCACTTGGCAGTGGTTCCAACCTTATAATCAGAGATCAAAATTATGTATTTTGAATTAATATTATAGATAAAAAATTGATCCAGCACTTTAAGTTTTCTAAATTATCATGCAAAAATATTATGCATATAGCCTATCACCCTCAAAATCAGCACAACTGCAAAGAAGAGAGCTAATTACTGTGGATTACATATTTTTCACTCTCCATAGGAAAATAAAGTAGAGCAAATTTTAGAGTGCTTACAGGTCTCAACCTCTGCTGGTACCCTTACTACTTTGCTAGTACCCCTAAACTTGCAGCATTTTGGTCTCACACAAGTGAGGAATGAAACAATGTTGAAAAGAGGTAATTTGATACATTCTTAGATCTACATTTACATACAAGCCGGTCAGATGTGTGTGTGGGCATAGGTGTGGGTGTGCGGGTGTGGTGTGTGTCACCGCTTCCCAGAGATCAGAGTGCTTGGTGATGCTTGGATCTACCCCACAGTTTCCATGGTCGTGAGCAAGAGCCTGAGCTGGTTGTCACTTGCATCCTAACTGAGCCCCTGACTCCAGACAACATCCATGTTCCTGAAAAGCATCACTCAGGAAGCAGCAGGAAATCTACACCAGTGCCACACTCTTCTGAGTTCCAATCTGCTACAGAACATTTAGGGAGATATACTAAATCCATGGATCCTCAAAGGCCAAAAGCTCTAAAGAAGCCTTCATGGACAAAGCCTAGGATTTGCCCCAACCCATCCTGACAAGTTAGTTCCACCTACCCCAAAGCAGAACAGGATAGATACACTTAGTTATCAGAACTTTGAAGAATCACAACCCACCATTATGGTTGTTTCCTCTTAACTCCTTTTTAAAAATCCAATGTATCACTAGCCAACCTTAAGCATGTGCAGAATTTTTTTTTTTTGGTTCAGCTAGCCAGGGGTGTCACAGCCACATGAAGAGGTGCCAACCCACAGATGAGTCAGAGATTTCTGTTTCAAAAGCTGTAGTATCTAGGTAACATCTATGAGGGCAATCCCAGTCCAAATATTTTTTTAAAGGTCATAACAATTGTCAACTTACGGACATGAGGCCAGCCATCATAGAATGATGACTTTTGATTTGGAAGGTACAATGTCTAGCATGAGGGCTGTGGGCCATACACCCACCGCTTGGGGTGACCTGGAAGCTTCTAGAGGCAGCAAGGTGGTTCACCACCCCCAGGGACCTTTCACTGATTCTAGAGGCTCTAGAGCATTGTCTCAAGTACACACAGACCCAAGAATTATGAATGGCCAGTGTGTGTGTGTGTGTGTGTGTGTGTGTGTGTGTGTGTGTGTGTTCATGTGTCTGCACTGGTCTTTGCATGGTTCTTTCCCATGCTTTTTCCTCCCTCTATTGACTGCAAGAGTGAGTTGTGGCAATTTCACTGGCAGCTTCTCCAAGCAGCCTGTAAACTAGAAGGGTATCCAGAGCAAGAATCTGTTTCAAGGGTCATCCAGAGATAGTCATTTCATCTATCTGGGTGAGTACAAGGAAGCACTTGTCAATCAAGGTCTTGACTGGTGACCTTTATTTTGTGGCAGATTTAGTTTTAAACAAATCCTCAAGAACCCTGAACACTCCCTGGGTCAAGTGGTGGCAAGTAGCCATGTTCTCGGTGTGACCTAGAGGGCCTTGAGTGCCACCTCCTCCTTACTGATGCTGCAGTGAGTGGTCTTGCTAGGAAACTCCATGCACACGGCGGTGTGCAGGGCTGGGGCACAGACATCAGCCCAGCAAGCTGACAGAGGAGGCTCATTCCCCCGTAGCCACCAGCCATCCCAAGCCAGTGGTCACACAATACTTGAACATAGGATTAGATACCATTTATAGCTTCCTGCTTGCCTTCCTCCCCTGAATTTGTGCTTATTTGGGTAATGCTTCAGGTTAAAACTTCCTAGTAAAACTTCCCAGTGGACTAGATCAGGTGAGTTAAATTTTTGCCTGTGCAACTACGGTGACACTTCTTTTTTTTTTTTTTCTTCATTAAAAACATACACCACAGAACATGAGTCTTACATCTTTCTTAATCTTAAAAAATATAAATATAGAGGGATAATTTGTACAGGATGTATAGATATGTACACTTTTAATATGCATATGAGAAATCTGTTACAAGTTTATGAAGGAAACCTTCCTTTGGGGGATTTTGAAGAAAATGCTGAGACCACAGGCCACTGCCTCAGTTCCCACAGCCCAAGACCAACGGAACCCAGGTCCTCCTGACCTGGCGTTCAGCATCGGGAGAGGGCAGACAGGCTCACTGTTTCCTCTCCACTGGCTGCTGGAGGCAGAGCTCACTCCCAGCAGAGACGATGGGCAGGCTGCTCTCCAGGTGGTGGTGGATGAGGTGGCTGATGCTGTCAAAGACCCTGTCCTTTGTCCGGATCTGTGGAAAAAATAATGGGGAAGTTGAGCTCATCTGTGGGCATAAAGAGAACACAGGTAATGATAGCTGGACAGACAGACAGACAGACAGACAGACAGACAGACAGACAGACAGATAGATAGATAGATAGATAGATAGATAGAATCAGCTGGATTGCCTGAGTTGGTCCAGAAGGGCCAGTAGGAGACAATGTTCCCTGCAGCCCAAGGACTGTCTGTGCCTTAGAGGTGATTTCTGCACAGACATTACTCACTGACTTTATTTCAGTGTGTTTTCATCTGCCCACTTCTCTAAGATGGAACCATGGAATGCCCCAGTTCCCAGGCCTTAATGGGCCCGGTCTGACTTATTCTTCCCTTTCCTGACCCAACTGGGACAAGGAATTAGACATCTCAGCTAGTGAAATATGACAAGTAAAGGAAATAAAATGTATGTGGATTGAGAAGGAGGAAATAAAACTGCCTTCTTCTCAGACTGCAAGATTGTCCATGAAGAAAATCGAATTTAACGACAATGAACTTGAACTAATAAACCAACAGTCATTGTTAAGGCTGCAAGATAATGAGAGAGAGGGTGATGCTGTTCAATGTGCTCATCACCTGACTTATGTAACTGTAACCCCTCTGCACATCACCTTTACAATAACATTTAAAACAAGAAAGGGATGTTAAAAGATTTAGGGAATGAAAAAAGGTTGCAAGATACAAAGTTAATACGCAAAATTCAATCACTTTGCTATGCACCAGAAATTGGAAATTTACAAACCAGTACCAATAGCATGCTCAAAACCTGAACACTTAGCTATTCAATGAATTACTTAGCTATAAATCTGAAGAAATATGTAAATACCTTGTGAAGAAATCTACAAAAATCTGATGGAAGAAATCAAAGAACCTGATAAAAGGAGAAGGTATTATATGTTCATGGATACAAAGACTCACTATTATCAAGGCACCAATTCTTCCTAAATTCAATATAATCTCAATGAAAACCTTTACAAATTATATTCAAGGCATCAACAAGCTTTTTACTTTAGTTTAAAAAGAGAGAAAAAGATCCAAAGTAACCAACATGTTACTGAAAAGAATGAATTTGGAAGCTGATCTCTACTCAATTTTGTGATGTATATTTTGGTATAGGTAGAAGAATAGACAAATCAGTGAACCAGAATAGGGACCCATACAACTATAGTCAACTGAACTCTACTTGGAGCAAAGGAAACATAGTGGATAAAAGGTAAGAGCTTTTTGGTATACGTGCTGGTACTGGGGCTTGAACTCAGGGCCTTGCACTCCCCCTTAACTTTTCTGCTTAAGGCTGGTGCTCTACCACTTGAATCACACCTCCATTTCTGGAGTTTTGTTGATTAATTGGAGATAAGAGTCTCATGGATTTGTCTGCCCAGGTGGCTTCAAACTGAGGTTCTCAAGTTGTAGCCTTCTGAGTAGCTATAGGATTACAGGCATTAACTCTATGCTCAGCTAAGACAGTATTTTTAATACTGTCTGAAACAATTGGACATCTACATGGAAAAAAAATCAAGAGAGAGAGAAAGAGATCTTATATATACTAAATTAACTTATATACTAAATTAACTAAAGGGGAGGGGTATGGCTCAAATGGTAGAGGGTATGCTTAGCACGCATGAGGCCTTGAGTTCAAACCCCAGTACTATCAAGACACAAAAATCAACTCAGACTTACAGACTTGTACAGAAAACTATTAAAATCTAAGAAAATAATAGTAAAATAGCTAAACAACCTTGGATTTGGCAATAACCTTTAGGGCAAGTTATTAAAAAGAAAAACCACAGACCAGGGGAGAAAAATCTTCTTTAAAAGTGCATAGGATAGGGCTGGGAAGGTGGCTCAGTGGTAGAGTGCTTGCCTTGCATGCATGAGGCCCTGGGTTCAATTCCTCAGCACCACATAAGCAGAAAAAGCCAGAAGTGGTGCTGTGGCTCAAGTGGTAGAGTGCTAGCCTTGAGCTGAAAGCTGAGGGACAGTGCCCAGGCCCAGAGTTCAGGCCCCATAACCAGAAAAAAAAAAAAAAAGTGCATAGGATAAAGGACTGTTAACAGAAAAATAAAGACATCTTAAAAAGGAAGTAAAAGAAAACAAATAATCCAATTAAAATTGTTTGAAGAACGGAAGAGTCTCTTCATCAAAGAAAATAGTTGGTAAATAAGCATATCAAATGTTTTCTACATTGGACATTATTAAGGGGATGCAGCCTAAGTCAACAGTGAGATATGATTATATCATGCCTATGAGAACAGCCGAAACCCAGACCACAGACAACATCAGTACTGGGAAAGAGGTGAAGCAACAGCCACCCGATCACTGCTTGTGGGAACGCAAAATGGAACAGCCACAGATAATTCAGTGGCTTCTTAGAAGGAAACATGCTTCTTGAAATGTACCCAAAGGAGTTGAAAAGTTTATGTCTCTGCAAAAACCTGCACACAGATGTTGATAGCAGCTTTATTATTAATTTCCAAAAATTGAAAGCAGACAAGATATCCTTATTGGTAAGAATATAAATTGTGGTACGACCATACATTTGGACAACATTTCAGTACTACAAAGTAAAGAGCCATGAGAAGAGATGGAAAAAAATGTAAATGCATGCTACTAACTGGAAGAAGCCAATCCGAAAAGTTCACATACTGTATGATTCCAATTATGTGCCACTCTGAAAAATGAAAAATTATGAGGACAGTAAATAGATCAATGAGTGCCAGGGGTTCCTAGGAAGGGAGGGGAATGAGTAGGCAGAGCACACAGGATTTTTAGGGCAATGATACTACTCTGTATTATACTACAAAAGTGGGCACACATTGTTATACATTTGTCCAAACCCACAAAATGTACAGCACCAAGAATGAACCCTATGGTAAACTGTGGGTTTTGAATGACAGTGTTGGTTACAAACAGACAGCTCTGTGTGTCTATGTTGATGGTGGATCATTAAGGGGAAATGAGCCTTCCACAGAACATCTCTGGCCTGTAAAGTCAGTTTTGCTGCAAACCAAAAAACTTCTTTTAAAAAATGAAGTCTATTAAAAATCAAGACTTTGTTTCTCTGAGTTTGGCTTACCTCACTTAACACGATTTGTTCTAGTTCCATACATTACCCTGCAAATGACCTTATTTTATTCTTTCTAATGGCTGTGTAAAATTCCATTGTGTATCACTATACATTTTTTGATCCACTCGTCTATTGCAGAAATTAGATCTAAATGCACTCGGGTATGATAAACTACAGAATTCTCAAGACTCTTAGGAGAGAAACACAAAAGCTCAATGCCTAAGCATCTCGACACACACACACACACACACACACACACACACACACATCCCAAGACTAAACTTTGCTGCTGCTTGAGAGTTGAATAAGAGATGGTTTTTGTGAGAACAGATGAAAGAAATGGGTAAAATTTAGCAAAGAAGTAAAAGCAAGTTCTCCCTTTATTAACTAAAAAAAAACATTTGTGTGTGTGTGTGTGTGTGTGTGTGTGTGTGTGTGTGTGTGTGCTGGTACTGGGGCTTGAACTCAGGACCTGGGCACTGTCCCAGGCTCAACACTAGCTCCTTACCACTTGAGTCCCACCTTTTCTTTTTAGTGATAAATAGGAGTTTCCTACCTGGGCTGGTTTTGAACCTCAATCCTTAGATATCAGCCTCCTGAGTAGTTAGGATTACAGATGTGTGCCACTGGTGCCCAGCAGAGGGTAGGTTTTGTGAGAAGAATGTACAGGTAGGGGGAGGGGTAGGCCGTAAGCCATACTTCCTGGATATCTACATCTCTGCATCAGCAATGACTAAATCATTTGTGAATACTCATTAAGGGACACTTACAGGCTGGAGGGAAGCACTGCTGTCTGGGTGGGCTCTGTACACTTGGTGATCATCAGAAAGGTTTGGTGGAGAAAGTCTTAGGGGAAGCCTCTTGCTCTCAGATGGTGCATGTGAGCCTTCCAAAGCATTTAGAGTCCAAAGTGTAGCAACAATTCAGGGAGCTGCAAGCCTTGTCTGCTCTCATATGGTTACTTTACACTTTCCAGGCCCTTGCAAGATCCACACATAGCTATCCCAGCCATTTTGAATGGTAGTATGCTTTCAGTACTTGGGTTTGTAGCTTCCATTTTTTTTCAAAATTTGTTATTACAGAAGTGGTATACAGAGGGATTACAGTTACATAAGTCAGGTAATAAGTACATTTCTTTTTGAGCAATGCCACCCCTTCTCTTACGGTTTTTCCTTCCTATCCCCACCGAAAAGTTGTATAGTTTATTTTCAACATAGTGTTCAGTGTGTACCACTGATGCATTTATCCCCTCATTTCTGTGTTCCCCCATACCCTCCTAAAGGCAGGTAAATGAACAAAGTAGCAAAAAGAAAAGAGAACGAAAACAAAAACAAAGAAAAAAATCCTTTTGTTTCCATTTCCTGGAGTTCAGCTCAATACATGTTATTTTATATGATCAGAGGCACATAGGCATTGTGTCTCTGTGCTCTAAGAGTATCCTCCTTTGGTCTCACTGTGTGTGAATGCCTACAGTCCTGTAAAATTTATCATGTCCCGGTATATTTTAGATCTAGTTTCTACATATGAGAGAAAACATGTGCCATTTTTGTCTCTCTGAGCTTGGTTTACCTTACTTAAGGTAATGACATAATATTATTCTTTCTAACAGGCGTGTGAAATTCCATTGTGTACAGGTACCACATTTGGTCCACTCATCTATTGTAGGGTATCTGGTCTGTTGCCATAACTTGGTCATTGTGAATAGTGCAGCAAGATCATTCTTACAGTATAGGCGAGGTTTACGAAAATCACAGGATGTTCAAGTCTTTACCCTAAGATGGTATAATATTTCCATTTAATCTGTAGACTTCAACCATTCCTAAATGCCTTACAATACAATATAAATGCTATGAAACTAATTGTTATGGTATATCACTCATAGAGTAATTGCAAGAAAATAGTCCACACAT